AGTTTTTTCAGAAGAATCAGTGAGAGAGAAGTCGATTTTTGTATCTGTTCGCTTACCCGAATCTGCTAACCTGAAGTGAGAGACCTGTTTTTACGACCCGCCACAGAAGTAAGTTTCCAGTCATGTTTTCTTGAATTTTGCCATGAGATTAAGACTAAATTTACGTTTTCTGATTTCGAATTACAAATGTATTTCTCTTGGATCGAATAATCATTAAAGTTTGGATAATATTATGCGGTTTGTGGTGGTCGTCTGAGCTGACCAGTTCCGAGTAAGGAAACACTCGATTTTTGTCGCTTTGAGGACTATAGCCTTTGTTCTAAGGAGAGGGGCATGAACTCATTTGCCCAACAGCAGCTGCTTATTGAGCCTCAGCAATTTTAACGAAATACATGCCAAGCAGTCAAATGTTTGCCAACGTACAATAGTTGGAAAGTATTGTTATCACGTTTCAAACTGTCCAGTCATTACGCTTTTGAGTCAGGAAACCTAGAAAAAAAGCCCTGTACGAAGACAAAATAAAACATAAAAATACAAAACAAACAAAACAAAAGCATAAAAATTTATAATTACCTAATGCGCCGGTAATGTGTGCTGCAACTGACTTATGTCGTACCATAATTCTTAAATCTTCAGCCACAAGTGCTGTCGAATTTCTCAGCTAAGTCGCCTTTCATAAAGCTTGCAAATTGTTTGCTGAAGTAATGTAAGTTGGCTAGTGTGTGTAAGTAAGCATATCATGCTTATTATATCATTTATTATTATTATTATTATTATATCAGTTATTATTATTATTATTATTATATCAGCTATTTAGGGAGGAGTGTCGGTTAGGCTAGTTTTGCAAGTATTCCTCATAATGCTAGTAAGAATCCTCGAAGTTTATTAGCTTTATTAGGGGACTTAGAAAATAATGAATAACTTGATTGATTCTGACAATTATTTACTAAGAAATCTCAATAAGCTTTAAGACATGCCAGCAAACCGCGAGAAACTAGTAACGTCATTCCTACTGACGTCTTGAATGTTGGGAAGCCCTCACGTGACACAGCCAAAACACTTCGTTGCAGTTAGGGGAATAGCTTCCTCAAACCTGACCGGTTTACCCTCGGATCACAACAACATCCAAGAAAATTCAAGGTTTTCTGAGCAATCAAAGTAACTCTGTATAACTACCATGATAATCTATTCGCTGGTAAGATTTTGTCAAAATCTCATTACAGCTTGCGCGCGCGCCTTTTTATTTAAAGCAAGGTACCATTAAGCTCCTAGTAAGTATTTACCTGTTGGTAACTTTTTGCCAATAAATAAATAAATAATTAAAAAGTCATTGATATTTAAAGTGTCGTGAATTCTGGGATAGATCATTGGACCCTTTGACTATTGGACTATTTTCTGGACCATTTTTTTTTTTTTTTTACCATCTGTTATAAGGGAGGGGTGGGTAGGTGGGGGTCATTAAATTGAAACCTACTGTCAGGAAAAAGTTTCAGTTCCTTTCTCGATGGATTTGTGCCAGTGATAGATAATACTTACTGGTTATCATTTGCTAAATCGCGAATCCCCTCCACCTGCTTAGCATTTGTTTTGTTTAGAAAATCATTACGAAATTTATTTCTTAGCTTTAATTTAGTCTGTGATCTTAGCAGTAGGTTGCACAGACGACAGAGATCACGGAACTTCAGTCCTATGAACTTTGCGGCATAGTATTCACAAGCGCACTCGTAATTGTAGTGTTTAGAGCTTTAATATAAAAACATTCCCGGTACACTCGTACAGAGCAATCTCCTAAAAGATAATTCATGCTTTTAAGATATAGTTTTAAATTCTTATTTCTTTAACACATACCTTGATTAAAAAAAAAAAAAAAAGTTGATTTACATGTTCCTTTCAGAGACTTACTCTGTAATTTGCGAGATGGAAATCTGTTGGTTGCAAAATTAGAAATCTTTAATTTTCGAATCGAGATTTAAAAGTCTAAAATTTTCTAAACGAGGCCGGAAGGATGGACTGCTCAGTTCACCTCCAGTGTGTGTTGCATACACTACCTGGCAAATTAAAACTACTAAAGGCTAACCAAAACTGTATTTTTATGAAGTCATCCCATCGTCGAAGCGTTCTTCTGTAAAAATGGTAAATGGCGTGGGATTGTTGTCGAGTTTTCCTGCGTATGGGGAATGCTTGACGTTTCTGATTTTCTGCCGAACGGTCAGGGAAAGTGTAATGTCACGCATTCGAATTACTGACTTACATCGATGACACCTTTAGAACAGCACAGCTACAACGCCTGATAATTTTTCAAATTACAGCCGGACTTGCATTTTATGGCTTAATGGCTCAATTCTTCTTTCACATAGTCGATACATTGATTCATTCAACCCAAACAAGTGGTGAAATGATCGATTCATCCTTCCGGCCAATGAAATTCTCTTTTCGCAAATTACAGATTTCCATCTCTTTTCCGGGGAAATTGTCCACTAACAACGTTTTATATCTTACATTCCCATCAGTGTTTCAATGCCTGTTTTACATTTGCGTGACAAGAACAACAAAAAACGTAATCTACCTGCTCATCACTCCCCAAACATTTTGATCAAGAAAGAATCAGTGAAAAAAAAAAAAAAAAACGCGCTAAATTATTTGTATGAGCCGGTAAAATTTAAGTCAACTGGGAGTATTTATAAATGCAAAAGCCTCCCTCCTCCTCACGGATGAAAAATATACTTACCCACCCTTGCCTTTATCATTCCAAAATATTGTGGTCGAATCTGGAATGACGATTACTATGATTTGATCATCATCATGATTATCAGAGGTATCATCTTTTTATTGATATTATTGTCATTATTATTAATATTTTGATCTTATGATCATGAGAATTTACGATTTTCGCCATTAAACGTAATTATGTTTTTCATTCTTGGGATACAGGTCTCAATGCTCTTTCACCGTAAGAAATAAAGATAAGATTACAGCTTGACCCCTTGAAGCTTTTGTAGACGCCCTTCCACATATAACCGCTATATTTAGACAAACGGAACTTACTCAGCACGATCAAGGAAAATTGCATACCATCACGAACGAGGAAATAACCAGGCTTAAACCTAGAAAGGTTTCTGTAGAAATAATAAAAAAATAGTGGAGTACAATTGAATAATCAAAGAAGGGAGTGAGTGATTGAGTGAATTTTCTTTCCATTCCTAAACCTTATTGCATAACTGACATTAATAATAGGTAGAATAACTGACATTATAGGTGACTGTTGAAACCAGTACATGTGCGAACGTTTTCTACGTGCTGACGCAAGTCAGGAATGCTTCAGATTTTGTGACCGAAGGAGTACGTCTGACATGCTGAAAACTGATTGGCTCCTTAGGGCAACGGGAAAACCCAGGTGATAGTATAGTTTCTTTGAAGCTCGTGTTAGTCCAAGACTCCACTTAGTAGCTATTTAAGATACAATTAAGTATACTTAAAGTATTCCTCGATTGCTTTAGTGCCCGTTTACAAATCTGGATTGAAGGAAACTTGACTGCAGGCAAATACTGTGTCGATAAACGAGTCACTTTACTGAAAGGTTTCCTTTCTTGTCCCATCTTGAGACTGTCCTGATAGTAGCGACTTTAAAGGATCGGTTCTATTAAGCCATTTGGCATACGTATCCAGGACTGCTCAGAGAAAATCTCCTTCGATTCAAGATGGGACAACAATCTTCTCGTCTGCTGGAAATATGCTCAACGAAATTTACGTCAACAGGATTGCACCACTCTGTCTGTACCATCGCAAGAAAGGACTTGATTATTGCGCTGTGGTTCTTTATGTTGGTGAGTACATGGCTCATCAACTTTGTTTCATGAGACAATTAAATCCCAGATTACAGCTCTGTAGAATGTTTCATAGTTTGTGCTAGATCTTTTGAAGCGCTATTTTAAAATATTATTGAAGAATGGGCTCTATTTGCTTACTCATCACTTCATCGATTACGAGGTTATAGTGTTTCATTACACATCTCCGTTGGTAAATTATACCGTTTTGGTTCGACTATGCTTTTTTTTTCGACAGATGGTTACTCAAGGAATTTGTTTGATTATAATTCGATGCTTGTCCACAGATATGTTTTCATAAGAGGCATTTTTCGTTTATAATCATGTAATCGAGACAAAAGCGATTGATCTTGGCATATGTATTACGGTTAGATTCATTCCGGTTTAATACCCCCTTGCTTTAGTTTGTATCTCATTTTTATTAAAATTAGCTCGCCAGGTTAGTACTTCATTGAAGCTGATTTTACTTTTGTTTTATGATGATATTCGCTATGGCATGCACGCCGGTAATTTTGATTTCTGTGATGAAAAATGACCCGTGGTCTGTCTTTCGCCTTTACGAGTTTTAACGAAATTTGGCCGTTTGTGCCGTAACTGACTATTATAAATAACGACCAGTAATTCTTTGTATAGCCAGAATGACATAACTTATGAAACAGATAGCGACAAAGATAAAAGACTTTTATATTTCGATAAGATATTTCGACTCGTGTTGACCCTTGTTGGTTCAACTCATGAAACGTAATACTCAATTTACCATTGTTCATTTTGGCTTGTTGGGCGATTTTATTCAAATCTAACAAGAAATGTAAGTATAGTCTACCACTCAAATTCGGTGGTCAATTTTATGAGTGAAGAGAAATGACGAAGGGACGGGTGTTTTGGCGAAGACTGCCTCGATCCTTAGTGTTCCGTTTATTGAATCAGTGCGAGGCTACGTGACAGAAATAGAAGTTAATCTTCAGGTGTGAACCGTATTTCAAACACTTGCTATTTGGTGGCCACATCACTTTCACAACTATAAAAGAGATAGCATTTGATTTAAAAAGATTCAACCAGCAAATTTATTTTTGATTGAATTTCATCTTAATACAATGGAAGGCCGGTTTTTTTTACTGGCGTCAAAATCAACTGCAATTAATGACGTGAATTGAAAGCCTAAGTTATCCTCTGTCCATCATAAACGGATTTCTTGAAAGTCCATCCTTACTCATTTCTTAATTAGGCCTCAGGTTTCAAAACTACGATAAGTACTTCTTCATTTCAGTGGTCTGAATGGAGGTTTTTCTTTTACCATGATACTGTATAAAGATGGCTAAAGTACACTGAAAGTTCCGTACTGTATTTCTGTCATTTTAAAAAAATATGAAATTATTCACATAACCGAATCTGACAAAAGGTGTCATTTTACTTATTCAAGTGATTTCCCCTCAGAAGTTCAAAGCACTTGAGATTGTTTTCACCTCAGCTCCCATCATGCTATTCATTTTAATGTACAGGTGGGAATGGGTATGACCGATTTTTATCACAAATGATGTGAAATTATAAGAAATTAGATATGAATACAAACTTGACAGAGCACGTTATATAATTTGGCTTAGAGTGGTTGGGTTAATGAAAAATTTCACATGAACGTAGTTCAGGCTGTACTTGCTCTTCAATCAAATAAGGATGAAGATCAAGCCAATTTCTTTGCGTATGGAATCAGAACAATGGACCTGGAATTCCATTGGATATGAAATTCACAATTTCAATATCAGGGGAGAGTTATGTTTCGACTGAAAAAATAATAAATATCAGCTTTTGCATGAGTCATGTGTACTTGTACATCATTACTGAAAATTGAAGTCTTACCAATAAACAGGGCATTGCGCCCAAGAAACAATTTAACTAATGATAAGGATTTATACCATATGATGAAATCACACGATTAGATTAATAATTATGATAATTGAACTGAGTAGAGTGTAATTTGGCCTGTATGGAATCATACGCGCGAAAGTTTTCAATTCAGAAGTAAGATTTCAGATCAAATTGCTCGACACAAACTTCATAATTATTTTATTACACCTGTTTCGAAATTGCAATATTTAATCGGCAGGATTCTAGTTGTTTAGTTTTGGGGATATCATTTGCAAAATGTTCCCCATGACGCTTCTTTGTCTTTCATTTTCCTGTACTTTGATTGTTTACTTTGAACAAGGCTTGACATCTGATTGGTTATTTTGTTTGCGTTGCTTTCTCATTGACTAGGAAAAAGAGTCTACTTAGAGCATGGTGCGATTCGTAGATAAATCGCACTGCTCTAGGTCAATTAATTAGCCTGCGTTGCAGCCGGACGTGTCACACAATCCCCGATATAGTCAGTCTGCGAAACGGCTCCCAAAAGCTTGTTCTGATATCCCGCAGGAATACATGGATCTGTGTATTCATTTCTGATTGTTTATTTTCTTATGCGCCTTATGATTGGTCATATTCTTGCGAAATTTATCACGCAATGTTAAAAATAAATATCGTCGCGTGTAAATTGTATATTGGAAGTACGTTTGTAGAAAGCTTTGCTTTACATTTCAAAAGGTTGAAAACGTTATGTCTGATTCGTCCGATTTTGTAATTTATGCTGTCGCGTCATCGAAAAGGGAAACGAAAGAGTGTTACTTTCAAAGGGATGGAAACAATTCGACGTACTCACCGAGATTGAAAGATTGGAAATATCTTTGCGATCGATCGAAAACAAGTACGTCTGCCGAAACTGTGTTGCGAAAGACTTTACTGGAACCACGAGGCTTTCCGAACAGAGCATCCGCAGCGATCGGAAGGCACTGGAAAATCAAAGATTTACCGTAGCCCGTCGGAAAATTTACAAAAATATTTCGACCTCCAAGAAATTCACGACGTGCATTTTCCTGTTCAGGTAGAAGATTAGCGATTTCAAACTGCTCTCTCACGACTTTGAACGCTTTTTGCCAACGTTCTTCTGTAGTTGCAGACATCTTATTTCCAGCTCTAAGTAAATTTGACGTTTAGTGTAATGCACAACTGTTATAAACTAAAGTAGTTGGGAAACCTACACAAATTTATTTTTGGCATTACATGATAGTTGCATGGTCACTTTCGTAAGAGTTATCCAATCAGATAGCGCGTAAGAAACTAGCCAATCAAAAATGGATACACAAACAGCGGGATATCGGAACAAGCTTTTAGGAGCCGTTGCGCAGACTTTCTATATCGGCGGTTTAGACTGTCTGCGACGCAGGCTATGGGTCAATCAGATTACTAGTAATTTAAAAATGGATGGAATAAATGTTTGTATTTATCTTCAGCTGAATTAGTGTTTGTTGTCGATGTTTTGCAACATTAATTAAATTTAGGTAATCGAATGCAATGACCACCTTTCTTCACGATGTGTTATTCTTTCGACGACAGGTATTTACTATTGAAGCAAATTCTTCCTGCAATCCGGAACAGGTAATTTGGACCAATACCGTCGGAAAGGCAGGATTTAAATGCTTGGACTGCCCTTCCTGTCCCCCTGGATCAGAGCCTTCGGTACCATGTGGAACAAAAATTGAAAACTGGACAGATATTAGCTGTGTTCCATGTCAACCTGGCAAAACATACTCTAACAAAAACGACACAGCTCATTGCAAGCCCTGCACCGTATGCTCGACAGGGAGAGCAATATTAAAGAACTGCACCCATAAGTCAAACAGTCAGTGTAGCAGGTGCAAGGAAGGATTTTATTATGAGCTGTTGTCATTTTCATGTAGGCCTTGTTCAGAGTGTTGTGGAGATGACAAAGATTTCGTTGCAAGCGAATGCAGAAGGTACAAACACAAGTGCAAAGTTCGGTCAACAACGTGCAGCGAAAAAGTCAGGTCCATCAAATCAACGCCTAGACTGAAAAAAAGCACACCTCTTCCAAGCACTGCATCAACATATCATCCATTAAATTCAGTTATCACGAATAAAACAAAGAAGCCAACTCGGGCTTTTGAGACTGATTTTCCTTCCGACAAATCAAATTTCGTTATAATTGCACTTGCAGCGGTTGCAGTAGGTTTGACGAGAATTTTCTTCCAGATCGTTATTAAGAAGTGCCGGAGACTAAGAGATACACGGGATTCTTCGGGAGACGTGGAATCAAGAAATGGTGACGAAAGTTCTCCCCAAAGCAAAGCACTGTGTGAGTCCAACCAACCAGATTCACAATCCAACGGATCAATATCACCTTTTTTGAATCGCGTTTTTATTCAGACAAGTGGATCCAAGACACTTCATCACATCTGCGGCGAATCGTCCGGTAAAAGTTGGCCTCCGTTACCACAATCCCAAGATTCAACATCGTCACAGCCTTATCCGTTTAGCCCACTTGCATATGTTGAATACACAGTTAACCCAGGTAGGTTCAGCGGTGGTAATTTATAATTGAAATTCGTTTTATGAATTATTTCAAATACTCCACGCACTCTCATTTGTCAATAGGTGCGTTTAGACTATTGTTAATTGACGATAGTCAATTCTAACACCATATTGCTTAGATGATATGTCGTTTTGGAAAACACCCTCATAACGTTTGCAAGGGTACTCTTTCATGGCAAGTGTAATTATTGAAAAATGAATTGTTCCGGTTTGAGCAAATGAATTAATGATTACACAACTATCTTGTAGACGAATTGACCCTTGTGGGGCTAGAAGAAAATTATCTGGACGTGTTCGACTGGATGTGCGAGGAGCTTGATGCCATGCAAAGAGACCGATGGGACTTTGAAAAGCTAGCTTTCCGGTACAACATTCCATCCGCAACCTGGAGATCTTTCAAAAATGCGTTCCAACGAAACGGTAGTCCATCCCATGTCTTAATGGACCATTTGAAGGCTCTACACCCAGATTTGCCCCTTCGTCATGTTATCAAGAACTTGGAACTTATTGGAAGGAACGATATCGTACACCGACTAAAGCCATACGTGAAGAAAAATGTTGACAGGTCATCAGCTTAAGGGCTTCCCCGAAGATTGTTAATTCGGGCACGGTGCACGTGAGTTTACGAAAACATTTTCAGAAAGAACTGTTTGAGATTGGTTTATAATTCAGCCTATTTGATGTGAAAATAGGCAAAACCAAATACTGTAGGACACCATGAGAGAGAACGTTCCATGGCGGAGAAGTTTTACTGTTCACCCGTTCGGAATAGATATTCTACTCGAATGTTATTGTGGTTGTTTTTGTTTCTATGTTCTAGAGAGTAATGTTGTTACGCTGGAAGCGTAATAGTATATAAGAACAGGAAAACCGAAATTGTCAAATACAAAAAAACAACAACACAGCGGAATAGGATTACGAGGATATTTGTGACCTATTTAATTTAGTGAAAGTCTGCGGTTCATTTTCAGGCAGTACCATATTTAATTGGTTGTATTTAAACTATTGATAAATCCTTAGATGTAAGAATAAAGCTGAGTGATATGCAAAATATGGTCCTTAAATAATCAATGATAAAAATAATAAAAGTAATAATAGAAAAAATAGATTTTTGTTGCTGAAATTTTTCTTGCTCGTCATGTACTGTAAGCCAATTCTCAGAAGCCGGAAGCCTCTGTTCCAAAACGAGGGTAGTGGGGAAAGTGTTTGAGTTGAAAATAAATTGGTATTCACATGCAAATAAGGATAATTCCAATCTCTCCCACCTTGATCCTGAAGTCATTCCTTTTGGTAGTTGTCAATAGCCCATTTCCGAATTTCCTTTAGCCTCTTTTTCAAAGCGAGTCGTGGTGCTCATCCTTTCGTATGGTAATAAGTTTTCATTCACATGCAAATTAAACTAATTTTCATACGTATGGTTGAGCACCAGGCCTCGTTTTGAAAAAGAGGCCAAACGTAATTCGGAACTGGCCTATTCTACAGAAAAACTGAAAGCAAAGGCAAAAATCACGAATTCTACGACTTTCCCTTTTTCAGCCTTGCCTTACACAAAACAAATCATAGAGACATCTAACTCTGATAGTAAGGTTTTTAAAAAAAAGGAGAAAGACAAAAGTTGAAAAAAATATAGATAAAATAAATATATGTACTTTACGTATCCCGTCTTATTCTAACACATGTCCTTTAACTCAAATTTGAATAAAACAGAAGTCATTTTTAAATATTTATGCCAATGATTTTTGCCCTCTGGCGCTTAATCAGCCGAAAATGAAAAATCAAAGGTGGAATAGTTAAATATATTTTGCTTTTACGAGTACCGATCATAACATTGGTATATAATTAGGTGATCAAATACCAAATCTTACGTCTTGCATTGCCAAACAGGGAACTGTTCGTAACTGCTCGACCGAGTAATTTTACATAATTAACTTTCTAGCTCGGATCAGTTAAACATGGGATACTTTTAAAATCGTTTGTTTGGTATAAACGGGACATTATTTAGCAACAAAATCTCCTTAACAGTCTTCACTTCTTTAAATAATAATCGTCTTTCTCGTTTACTCCGCGCTGACACCCTCATTACTCAACTGAGGAAGGCGCTTTTAGTTTACAAAAGGTTACTCTGTCGCTGGTAACAAGTAAGCAGGCAAAGTTCATGCATTCCTACTTAACATGCTACATCTTCATCATTTGCGTGATTCTAGTCTTGACGCTCTTCTTTTCAGACTCTTTAGCTCATCTCTTTCATACAATACATCGTTATACAAAACGTTATTGTAAGTTTTGAGTCTGCGCAATGTGTCCATGATGTTACTTGGATCCAATTCGACCTTAATCTCATCATCGTATTCGTCCAGCTCGTAAAACTGAGCGTTCACTGTTCTCCAACTTCCGGTCAGACGTGTTCTTCTCATTTGCTCGGATTGGGAACGGAGTTTATCAACGCCAGGTGAGCTGCTACGGGAGGCAGTTTCTTCGATTCCGGCTGGCGCTAGAGTAGGCCTTTCCACGGATCTGATTTCACAGTTTACCTTTCGCACCTCTGAAAAATCGTTTACATTTTCACTTTGCTCGAAATATGACTCTCCTTCGTAGCAATCATCATCAGCGCAGTATAGATTCAGGTGGCTGAGTCTTATATGTAGCTGGTCACGAGTATCTTCGAGTTCCTCGAACAGATTCTCCTTCTCTACGTGCAACTTGGCAACTTCATTTTCGGAAATTTGACGCTTTCGCTGCTCATCTCGAAGCCGTTTTTCCAGTAGAGCCACTTTGCTCTCTAGAAGGTCCATTTTTCCATCGTCACTTTTACTTCTGTGTGGCGAACTCGACCATTTTCTGCCGCCCTCAAGGCTCTCGTCGCTGCACCACCTGGCATGTCCAGAGCGTCTTCGTTCGCTCACGTACCTCTCTCGACCATCACTGTTCAATTTTCCCATGGAGGAGCTCTTCCGCAGCTTATTAGACGAACTTCCTTCAGACTTTCTTCGAGTCAGAGAGTGTAGGTTATCAAGGCTCCCAAACTTCCGCCAGCCATCTTCATGCTCCCATTCTAAATCGTCATTTATCGCCGCTGATTGAGGTTCCGGGTCTTGGAACTCAGACTGATCTTGATCAAAAAGCGACGCAGAATGGTCGTCGTTCAGACTTGGTGTGTTTTCAATCTCCTTTCTAGTCGAGTAGTCGCCGTATTCCTCGCCGTCGCTCGGTGCTGAATCATAATCAGCGAACAAACCCGAGCTGCTTGAGTCACTAAACACGATGGAGCTTCTCCTGATCTCCTCCAGTTCCTTCTTAGTGTTTTTATGCCGTTTTTGCTCCTCAATAAGGCTCAGTTTCAAGGATTGTGTCTCATCCAAATCGTTTTCCAGCTCCGACAATATACTGCTGATTTCTGAAAAATTAAATAAATTGCACTTGAATTAAACATGAAGAAACTGAAATTCTCCAAGATAATCACTGCTTTGGAAACCTAAATAATTCTCCTTTCGATTTTCATGACTTCATTTACACATTTACGTCCTTGCACACCTCTTAAGCATCCTTCTCTTCTCCAGGCCCTCACCTGACTGAAAGGTCAGAGAACGACAACGGTGACGTAAATTCAGTCTTAACCAATTTCTATTGATACCAAATCTCATATCTTACGTGTTATATGCAGTTGCATTTAGCAGCAAATTTCCCGTCTTATTGCTATAGAGTTGAACTGCACGTTTCGAAAATTTCAAGGTTTTCCTGTTCCTTCAAAGTCTAAATTGACCTTAACATGTAAAGAATACTCGATCCAGAAAAAAAATGAACATCTAAGTCTTAAAAATTCTGAAAGAAATCAGGGCTTTAGCTGAAAAATGAAAACTGACGTTGCTGCCTTCAACCAGGTGAGGCTTTGCAAGATTTTACCTAAATGCTGCAAAGCCTCACCTGATCACTGGTGGAAAAACAAAAAGAAAAAAAGAGAGATCGGAAGATTGTATGGACTTCTAAATACAAGTACTGTTTCTAATTGTTCATGAGTACCTAAAGGATTTTGTGAAAAATTTTAGACCTTTCCGAATTTTCAACAGAGCGTCTCGCAATTTTCTGGCCATGAAGGTCGATCTAGTCAAACAACGATTCAGGCGTGGTGAATCTAATGCGCGGGTTCAATATACGCAAGACATTCGCTCGTTTTTCGCTTCTAGACGAAGTCGGGGTCTTCTTTGAACAAAGCTCTTGTCCCGAGAGATTCCTTAGCCCAGCTTTTGGGTATTCCGTGTTTACCTGGTGATCCCGAAAAATTTGCATACATACATCGACGTTAAAATCCGATCCTTAAGCAAGTTTACACACAAGTGATAAAATAACTTAAATCCTGTTTTCTTAGCATCTGTTATTTCTTCCCGTGCGACGGAAACGGAGCTGTTTAACAAATTAATTCTTCGAATTCGTTAGAACTTCTTTGCAAAACCAGACGATTGACAAAGATTTACCAGACATTGCGACTCGAGGAAAATATTTCATTTTGAAATAGAAAAACCTTCAAAATGTTTTAAAGCAATTAGTTCATACGCGAGCTGTTTGATGATCAAAATATGGGGCACTTTTGAAGTTTAGAGAGCACTCAAGAAGCTAGGGTTGCCCTCGGCTACGCCTGCAGCAAATCTTACGCATATTTCGTGATCTCCAAACTTCCCTCATGCCTCAAATCTCGACGAGCGACGCTGATGCAGAAACCCATTGTTGAAAGGCCGCTTTAGGCTACTATGACCCTAACAAGACTAAGCTCGCTAATAATTTGGTTTTAACACATGAATTGATGATATGAACTGGCCACCGTTGAGACTCTTAAAGCTTAAGTTTCAAGTTTAAGCCTTTCGACATAGCGCATGCCCCTCGTCTTTCGCCTTGACGCTTGAAAGTTTAGCTTACAAACTCTTTATACCGTGGCCAATTTACATTATTAACTCAGTTTATAAATTCAAATTATCTTGTAATACCCCTCACTGACGGAGCACCACAGATTCTTTTAAAACTAACCCCCTCTGAGCTGGCTCATGTTTGGTTACTGACGGATGTCAACTGAACTCTTTCAGGGAGCAGCAAAACGTGAGTAAAATTATAAACAAATCAGCCCCATGGTCACGCAATTACATGTTTTTTCAATTATTCCGCATAGGTTTACAATGCAGGGTCTTAGCAAATATGGTAGGTAATAATATCATCCTGTGAAAGTGTTAAATAAACGGAATGCGAACTAACTGGCTCTACATTATCCCAAGCTAAAATGTCTGTTTGAGAAACTCAAAGCTCAGTAAGCTGTTGGTGAGAGGTTAAGTAAGTGACCCACAACATCAAGCGGTCAATACTGAGAAAGATCGACAAGTTTCTCCTCTGACTTCCGTCTGATAGTCATAACAAAAACCCACAACGCACACCATACTCGATAGGATTTATTATTTGCACCGATTTTACATTCAAACGTACAGACTCATTAAAAGGACTTAGAACTCAAGTGTTTCGCTACAAGTCTCAACTCGCTGCTGGCAACTGAGACGAATCTGTTTCATTTTCCTTACGAAGCCAATATTGGTAAAAGCAAGTAAACAAGAGAAATATTCCGAAGAAACGACGGCTTTTGTGGTTCATAATGTACTGGCATTCAATTTTTACGTTTGGTCACATCCATAGGAAATTTAGCAACGGTCATTCTCAGAATAAAAAAATACAAAGGCAATTAGAGGCAAGTAACGCAACTCGCCAGTGAAAACACAGACATAAAAATATACTGTCCTTAAATATAATATTTAACGGAACAACGCTCTCACCTTCTTCGTCATAAACATCATCCTCAAGAAGCTCTCTCGCTAAGAAATCCTGCACTTTAGATTTCAACAAAGCCTGAAGTAAATGTCTCAAGCCGTTCTCACGTCTTTTTATAATGTCAACAAACACTGCCACTTGGTTTTCTCTTGACGTTTTCTTTTTCTCTTCGCGTATGGTCTCCACGTCGTCTTCGTCAATAACGCCAATTGTTTCAAGATGACGCAAAAGTTTTGAGGGTTCCAGGCATTGTTGAAGTCTCGAGAAATGCCGATCTATCACAGTGCAGTCTCTAGGATCCATTTTGCTGTAAATAGAAAGGCAAAACACCCGATTAAAGTCAGAAAGTTAAGTGTTTGACCTACAGCAGCATACGACGTGATGTTACGCCGCGGTTTCTCAATTCACGAGTCTTTGATATGACATTACACACGTGATTCTCTTGAAATTACCGTATTGGTAACTTTGTCTGGAAACACCAGAATGAGGTAGAAATGTAGCTGAAGTTTCATACACATTAGCGCGTTCAGCTTCATCAAAGTGCCTTACAAATAAAAATTTTACTGTTGTGATGTGAAATCGATGGTACAAGAGGGAAACATTTCCTAATGCAGAGCCTAAAGTCGGACAAACTTTGTCACGTCACCCATGATGTCAGTAATATATTGGGGCGCAACTTCCGACGAGACTTTGGTTCATTTGAAACAGTAAAAGCAGAGTCGATATTAACTCTGTTAAAAGTAGATGGGGTTCGGATATAGCACAATAACTGTCATATATGAAACTTGACCAAAAACAGATCGGGCTGTTATTTTCTCAGACCCCCTAGATATAGGATTTGATCATTCAGTGTACCTCCGGCTTCAAGATACACTTAGCTGTCGACAGTTTCTCAATTTTGACCTAGGAGCGCTGTAAAAGCCAAAATTAAACGCCTAGTGAGTAGCAAGTTTGGTAATTTATCCAGTAAATATAGGAATTGTAGCTGCACTTACCCATCAAAAATTGTTGAAAATCCAATGGCAAACTATTTGTCAAATTTTTATCTAGATGACAAAATACCCAAACGAACGAGGCATCCTTCTCTGTGTTTACGTCTGCAGTGAAAAATGTTACTCGTTCCCGCCGCATTAATAGTCACTTAACATTCCAAATTCTGTCTATTTGTTAAAGGATTAACGTGACAATAGAGCGGGTCATCCTAAAAAGCCGCCAAATTGGTAGGTCAGCTGGTCTGCGATGCGCGGTGATAAGGAAATTTAGAATTAATTTGAATGCCCAAATTTATCAATCTGTACAAGCTTTCGAATTCGATTTAAAAAAATACGTTCTCACTTTAAGCCTTTTACTTAAGGAATCTCACTTCGTAAACGCTGAGAGATTAAAAATATTGAGCTAAGAAGACATGAAATTATCTTAAGAGGAGGGAAGTCACGCTATTGGTGGGGTCCTCAAAGAACTCTGAATACCGCAAGACCGCAAAAATAAACTAAACGAAACCGCACCGCTTTACCGCACGAAAAGTTTACGAAACTGCGACTCCGCAGGATACATTCACACGGTTCACAAACACAGCTGAATAAGTAACATAGCCACGTTAAAGTCACCATGTGGATTATAAAGTTGGTTTTGTCATTGCCAATTTTCTAGGCCGTTTTGTGGGTCCCTGCTTGCATATCGTATGTTTCCTAATCAGTATGCTGAGTTCGAAAGCCTTGCTTCAAATTATGTTTAATTTGGCGTCTTACGGCATTGATAACAAATAGGATGAGCTAAATTTAGTTCAGACAAGGTCTACAAGGGTCATAGATCATTACACAAAGGTCCACTTAACACTGAAACCGCTTTGACGCAAATAATTTTGTTTCACCGTACACCGGAGCTTTAACCACACAAACAAGCACACCTTAGGATTTCAGGACACCGCAGTATCGCATTGTAGGAATTTTTCCTCGAAATACCACATTTTATCATATGGCCCGGCGTTCGGCCCCACTCACGCAATCCCATAGAAAACAATTGTGAACATGAAAGCTGACGTGTGTAGGGCCGTACGGGTTGACGTGAGACGGTCCGGGAAAAGCCTTCCAACCCCAGTGCTCTTGTATGGCGACATTTTTCGAAATTGGTTTCTTTACCATGCGAGAAAACCCTTACGATTCTTTCATGCCTGTCTCGCCAGTCTAAGTTTGAAAGTAGTGCTATAAAGATCTGAGTTTCAATTCTCATCAGTTGACTCTCATACACTTCGTCGCTTGGTTGTCCTGAGAATTCGGTTGAACATCGGGTAGTTGTCTATTTTCTGCTTATTTATTTCTTGTCCCTCATAAAATCGGTTTTGAAACTAGTTAGAAATGAGATGGCAGTTTCTTCATAGAATCAAAGGGCGAAATGTTCCACTATTTCAGAGCAAGTTCAATTAAATTTTTTTGAGGTCACATCAAAAGCAGCCTTAAATATGCCGCGCGGCCTAACAGCTAATTGATAGCAAATTACTCCGAAATATTTGCACAGATTAAATGCAAGGTATGGTACGGTCCTGAAGTCGATAAATGCCCTAACAATTCTTCTTTATATGTACTCTCTAATATTCTACTTTGATTTCAAAAGGGATGAATCAATATTTGTTACCGAATTTGGACTAGTGGAACTAGGAATCTAATCGAGGCATAACGATGGAAAGAGAAAATGATTAAAAGCATAGTTAATAGAGGGGACTGGTTAGGAGACCCGGCGAACATCAAAGGTGCGGCCTTTTGTTTCGTATTTGATGTTGAACTTCCCTGTGACGTCACAGCGTGAGTGCACATCAAAAACAAAGATGGCGGACATTGTGAAACATTTTCTCTTGTTTGGGGAATATTTGGACGGAATTCCAGAATTTTTTGGCCAGATAAAGATATCGAAGGGTAGTTTAAAGCTTCAATAAACAAGTGAGTACATATTTTTCATCTGATAAGAAAAGTTAGTGTACTTACAAAGATTTTTACTCGGTATTCCTGGCGCTACTCTATGGCCTATCGATGGTAATCCAAGTATTTATATATTTTCTTTATCTAATTTGCTATGTCAGAGACTTGAATTTTCAATTGTTTCATTTGAACTTCTTTTGTACCTTTTTTTGTATTTATTTTGTAGATTCAACCCATTTTTAACGGACAAAACGATATAGAAGACATCATCACTATCTTCGAAAAATTGAGTCATACTCTCAGTTTAGCTGTACAAAGAGTCAATAAAAAAATGAAAAGGAAGTTAATTTATTGAAAGAGCTTAGAGAAAACACTTCCGAATTCACCGTGCTTATGTCTAAAGGTTTTAATTTCTTAAGCTTCTTTGGATAATTCATAAAATGGGACACTTAAAGGCCCATTTTCAACCGAGATGCCTTGCGCGCCCGGATCATTTTTTATATATGAAAAATACGCTTTTTTCCTCGTAGTTGCGGAATCGCTTTGAAATCTTCTTCCATCTTACTAATTAGGGCTTTCAAAGTTCCATTTTGAATCATGTGCGAACAACAAACTTTCGTAGTATCCATATCAGTAAATAGTTTTTAATTCTTACATGTATGACGGTGAAAAACGTCATTTGAAAAGTTGATGCCGCCGAAGAAGCGGTCTAGAGGAAGGCCGAGTCTGCCCGGCTCGGCAAAGGTTATTCGACTTCGAGAGTCTGTGTATGATTTATGGAGGGCAAGGAAAACAACCATGGGTTTCGGTAACACTACAGACAGTGCTTTTGCAGAAATGTTATTGCATTGTTCCTACGATGGAACTAGAGACTCCGGGGAGATTTTTTCGAGGTGAGAATAATTATTTGACTGATTTTTACTTGAGATCCTGAGATATGTATGTAAGCGATCTCATTTGTACAAGTCATTATTCTATAATTGAAATGCGTAAAGTAAATCAGTTTTGGCCAATATTGGTTATTTGTTTATATTTTATTTAGTGTTGAAGCCGAACAATTTCCTTCAACATCAAGTAAGCTTTGTACAAGTTTTATACACAGACTCGATTTATGATTTTTCAGTCTCAAATATTTAGCTGCAAATTTGTTTACTGTGTTCTTCACCAAATCTTTGTTTTTCTTTTTAATAGTGTTTGTGAATGACTATCAGAGTTCGCCATTTAACAATAGCGCGATTCCAAAACAAAAACAAACGACTGCAAAGGATCTCGGATGAAAATGGGCCTC